CCCCAGCCCCGGGGGTTTTCGGGGGCCCCCTGACTCTCGGTTCCCAGGGCCGGCGCCGGGGGGGCCCCGGGGGGGCCGAGGTTCGGTTCCAGGAGCTGGTGGAGAGGTACAAGAGGAAGATTTTGGGGAGCGACCCCCCCACGGCCCGGGGGGGCAAATGGTTCGAGAGCTGAGACCCCCCCCGGCACCCCAAAACACCCCTGGCACCCCAGAACATCCCTGGCACCCCAGAACCCCCCCATGGCACCCCAAAACATCCCTGGCACCCCAGAACATCCCTGGTACCCCAAAACCCCCCTGGCACCCCAAAATCCCCCCCGGCACCCCAAAATCCCCCCCTGGCACCCCAAAACATCCCTGGTACCCCAGAACCCCCCCATGGCACCCCAGAACCCCCCCATGGCACCCCAAAATCCCCCTGGCACCCCAGAACATCCCTGGTACCCCAAAACACCCCCCGGGTACCCCAAAATCCCCCTGGCACCCCAAAAGCCCCCCAATACCCCAACCCCCCCTGGCACCCCACACATCCCCCACACCTGGGGATGCCGCGGGTCCCAAACCCCCCGGGGATGTTTTGGGGTCCCAGGGGGGTTTTGGGGTCCCAGGGGAGGTTTTGGGGTCCCAGGGAGGTTTTCGGGTCCCAGGGAGGTTTTGGGGTGCCCGGGGGGGAGTTTCTGGGGTCCGGGGGGTTTTGGGGTGCTGCCCCGTGCAGCCCGGGGGGGTTGGGGGGTCAGACCCGGCCCTGGGTCCCCCCTCCCCCCCCCGGGATTTGGGGGTGCTCCCCCTCCCCTCCCCCCCCCGGTGTTGTTCCGGGTTTTAATAAAAATGGGATTTTTAAGGCAAATTCGGGCTCCTGGTGTCACCCCCAGCTCGGGGGGTCCCCAGGACGTCTCCCCTGGGGTGGGGGACAGCGCCCATGTCCCCCCCGTGTGTCCCCTCCATGTCACCCCTGTGTCACCCCCTGTGTCACTGTGTCACCTCCATGTCCCCCCTGTGTCACCTCCTGTGTCACCCCATGTCCCCCCCGTGTCACCTCCCATGTCACCTCCTGTGTCACCTCCCGTGTCACCTCTCCTGTGTCACCTCTCCTGTGTCACCTCCCCTGTGTCACCTCCTGTGTCACCTCC